GGGGGCAGAGGAGAGGGATCGAGGCATCCGGCCAGAAGGGGTCGCCGGGGAACGGCACAGCGAGCAGCGAACCTCTGCCACTTTGCAAGGAGGCAGGGGAAGCCCCGCGCAGCTGCCGGCAACCGGCCAGCTGGTCAGGGAAATCGTGTTATTGCGGGGACAGTCGGCATGTTCAAAAAATGTTCACCCCTCCCCCCCCCCAAAAAATGGTGCTATTGCGAAAACATGTTAAGTGGGCATGTGTTAAGCGAGGAATTACTGTATTAACACCCAGGTAGGCAGGCGGCCTGCTCAGCTCAGTACTGGCTTGTGGTGGTCCAAGACCTACCCCTGCTGCAGCTCTGCATTTAAAGTGTATTAGGAGCCAGGCAAGCAGCGTGGCTCAGTTTTGGCTCTGTCTGAGAGCTCAGACCACGCTCTGGACAGGGGCTGCTGGACAGCACCCTGTGCTGCTGCCTCTGATACAGAGGCAGCAGCAGCACAGAGTGGCAGGGGGGCTCCTTGGGAGTGAGGCGAGAGTGCACTGGCTGCCAGTCCCACCCCCTACAACTACATGGTAGTCGTTTAACCGGTAAGAATTCATGAGGTTACTTGACTATTCAGTTAACCAACATTGAACAACCCTATACAAAACCTAAACTGTTAATTGTAGAGTTTAATGAGGAAAAAAACCGTGTCATGGCTAAACTAACTTGAGTGCTTTGTTTCAAGGTTCCAGGTACGTAGATGTACTATTAACTGCCTCATTGTCTGATTACTGAAGAGCACAGCCTCATTGCACAGGCTATCTACCACCCTCAAAGGCGTTCAAGAGAGCTTGGTGCTTAGCTCTCATTGGATTTAATGGGATTTGGGCACCTCATTGAAACTTCCAGACCAATTTAATCCCTTGATTTCTTCATCTGTCCTGTTCACTGTTCCCTCTGTTTGCCTCTGCTCAGCATTGTAAATGCAAATGGATCGCTTAGGTTTTACAGGTATACCAGTTTGTAGAAGGATTTCCATTGGAAAAACTTGATCATGAAAGTCTGAATAGTTTTAAAAGCTTCATGACAAGGACAAAATTGCTGGAAAGAGCATATAGTGTATGTATTGAAGAGGCCCTGTCAACTGAAGAGGTCTTACCTAGGCCTGAGTCTCAAGTCCAAAAAGGTGTTTTCTGTCCTGTTGTTCCATGCGACTGACACTACTTTGCCTAGTCAATTTTATTATTCCCTTTTGTGTAGTCAGGTCCAGTTTTAGTGTGATTCTTCACATAGCAACAGGGAAAAGACATATTAGAGGAACATAAAAATGTTATTTGGAAACACCTCAGAATTGTACTAGGATTTGAACTCAGATGTAATGAAAATTTCTACTGCTCTTGGGTTTTATTTTAAATCTTTAATTGAGCTGTCACTTTAAACAACCTGGGTTGCCAGCTTTCTAATGTCTCATTTAATTTGAGATGGCCTCACACAGAGGTTGCTGCCATTTAGTCCCAGGTGCGCTGGCGGTAGTTTGTTCCCTTGTGTTAGCTGCATGTGTGAGTTAAAATCTTTTCAGAACCAAAGCTGACTTAGTTGCCTGGACTTTGTTCTTCAACATCTGTCTTCCTTTGTCATTGCTTATCACAGGGACCAGCCCACGTGTAGCACTGTGGGATCAGGATCCAGGTTGGTAAACCAGTTCTCAGGCTTACCCACAAGGAGGAGAAAGACAGCAGTGTATTTCAGTAAGGAAGGGATAGTCTTGAGTTTAAGGCACAGGGCTGGGGATGAGGAAATGCAGCTCCCTCCCGCCCCCCCCGGCTCTGTCATGTTTCTCTAGGGGCAAGTCACTTAGCCTCTCTACAGTAAAATTGGCTTCATAAGTACCAGCCAAGCATACTTTAATCTGACTGCTGCATATAAGGCACTTTGGGATTCTCAGATGGAAGGTCTTACTGGATGCAAAACACATTACACCATTTTTAAATCACTCGCTTAGGTTTTACAGGCAGTATCAAAGAACGGACAAAACAGATGGTGCTGAGTAAACAGGTAGGGGGAGGTGTATGTGTAAGAAATGGGAGGTTCTGATGGGGCTAAGCAAGCTTGAACCTCTACCCATATGCTGATGTGATTCGCAGGCTTTTGGGGGGGAGCTATTGTAAAATGCACGGGCTGCTTTTGCGGGGTGTTTCCAGTGTATAACACACGTGTTTCCATAATCTGATCTTCAAGGTGTGTTCCCTGCAGAAGATAGTACGGACGCGATGGATTCCATGTGGTGTCTGGTGTAAATGAGGACGAGGTTTGGACACTGATCTGGAGTACCTGGTAAGATGGGTGCAAGGAAAATGTGTCTTAATACAGATGAATGTACAGAGACAGATCTAGCAAAGAACATAAACCACACGGCGGAGAGGGGGCGTCTCCTGGGAAGTAGTAATCATCAAACAGGTTTGGGGAATCGGTGAATGAGTTTTCCCCAGTCCCCCACTGTAGCCAAAATGGCTAATGTGACCCTTAGATGTTGTGACAGAGCAGGTTAGAGGGCTGGATGGAAGGGGAGAGAGGCAGCTCTTAAAAAAGGAATAAAAACCAGCAATGGCCCTGGCTAATAATTAAGGGTCTGGTGAGCCGGTTTCAGGCTGCCTCAGGATGCTTTAAAAACCTTCCCTGTGGGGGAGGGGAAGGGAGAGTAGCGAAGGAGTTTGGAGAGAGGAGAGGGAGAGGAAAGAACAACTGATAAGGAGACTGGGGGAGCTGAGCAAGTCAGCACTGCTAAAGGCTGCAGGGGGAGGGGAGAGACTCCCACAGGGAGTGTTCGGAGGCAACTTCCCCTCAGGTGGCCAGAAGCTTCAGTTGGGGGCTGTGGGGGACTGTTTGTTTAGCCCCGACTGGCCAGGGGCATCCTTTTGCTGAGGGACAAAAGGCCAAACACCAGGCAAAGGCAAGTGGGACTTGTACCACAGCCCCTAGACTGCGGGATAGTGGGCAGAACAGGGGTCTGGGACCCAGGAGTGGGACTGATTCTGCCACAATGTCTAAACAGAGATCTCAAGAGTAAAGGTACTTTATCTCTCTAGTGGAATCCACTATCCACAATTGTTCACAATTTGAGAAGGATATTGATCAATTGGAGGGGTTCAGAGAAGAGCCATGAGAGTGATTAAAGGGCTGCCCTATAGGAGCTGATCTTGTGTAACAGGGGAAAAAAACCCCAAACCCAGAAAATGTTAAAGGATCACAGTCTTTACCTACAAGGGACATAGATATTAGGCACTTGAGTCTATCAGACAAAGATGCACCAGTTCAGTGATTGGAAGTGGAAGGTGGATTAATTCAGCCTAGAAACCAGGCATGTGTTTAACAGTGAGCATAACTAACCAGTGGAACAACTTACAAAGGGATGTGGCGGGTTCTCCGTCTCTGGTCATTTTTAAATCAATGGACAGTTATTTACAAGGTACGCTGTCATTCAGAAGGAATCATTACCGGGGGCGTTCTATGTTGTGGTCTATAGGAGAACAAACAGCTGCTTGTAGTCATTCTTTCTTGCCTTAGCATCTAGGAATCTGCTCCCAACCTCTCTAGTGCAGTTACTTAGTGACTATAAAGGTATCCTATACTGATGTTATACAGTAGGTCAGACCAGGGTTCCCTCGAAGATTTTCCAGCCGTGAGTAGTGAGTTTTGGCTTGTGCTCCAATATTGAGATCATGGGCGCTGGTTTGGACGTGTGCCACCTTGGAACCCAATTTATTAACACATGCACATTCCCAGCTGCCAGAGCAGAAACCCCTCCTGCCCCCTTCTGTGCAGCATGTCCAGACCCCGTTCCCCCTACCATGGGGCAGGTCCTATTCCCAGCCCCGGCCACCAGAACAGGCCCTGGCCCTCCCTGCCATGTGGCAGCTCCAGCCGCTGGACCAGGCCTCCCCCCACCCACCATGGGGCTGCAGCATTTCCTGTCCCCTGCCACTGTGGCTCCCTCACCATACTGTCTCAGCCGGCCCCGTTTGCCGTGGGAGTGCTGCTGTGGGGCTCTCCAGAGGAGGTGGGCGGGAGAAGAGTTGTTTGTGCACGAGTGTGCACCTTAGCAGGAACGATGGGTCAGACCTGAGGGTTTTGAGATATCTAAGGAAGGTTTACTTCCTAAGAGCTGTGGCCAGCTTTGTGTTGTGAGCTGAGCTATAAACAAAACAGACTTCCCTACGTTTGTCATCTTGATTTTTGTCGAAAGACCATGATGGTATGAGGGGTAATGACCTCTCGTTAATGTACAGGTAAATGTGAAAATACTGATTTATTTTCTGAAATATTTTTATTTTACAAGGCCCATAGCTGTAGAATTCAGTAACTTCTCACTGTTTCCATTACCTCACAGACATTAACCTCCCCCGCTCATCCCCACTCTGTTCTAAAATCTGATTTGTCTATTTGATATGTGTTCACTTTTTTTGATTGTGTCCCTTTGGTGTATATACGGTCGTGCCAATTTTCTTCCACAATTTGATCTGAGGAAGTGGGTCTGGCCCACGAAAGCTCATCACCTAATAAACCGTCTTGTTAGTCTTTAAAGTGCTGCATAGTGTTTCAGCAAGATCAGACTACCACAGCTACATCTCTATTACTATTTTTTTTTAAAGTACCCCAGTACCTACAGTTTTTCAGACACACAATTTTTTTTCTATCATTGCAACACATTTGTTGAAACAACTTAATTGTAGTGGGGAGGGCGATGACATTTTTGGGTGTAAAAAGTACAAAAATTAAGCGCTGTAAAACTTAAAACCAAAATTCAGTTTTCTCCAAATTTCAGTTGTTGATGTACTCCTCCCCCCCCGACTTCTCTCGAGTACCCCTAAGAGTACCTGTAGCACTGGTTGAGAAACTCTGATCTAGTTCTATCATTCCATTACCTGTCGATAGGACTGTTCCACCTCATTGGGAGCATCTGTCACTGAACAAACAGCCGCTTGGCTGGAGAACAGGCCGCTTGATGCAAAATAGGTTTTCTACCAGGCTAACTTGAACTCGGCTTAGTAAAATCAGCCCATAAGAACTCACACCCAGCCCTTTTTAAATAGGCCTCTCCGGTTGCTTATTTCTCTTCATTCGGCCACCAGAGGGAGCGTCGCAAACAGTTCCCCCCTGGCTGAAGCACATGGGGGTGCAAGTTCAGTGAGGACGGGGCCCTCTCGTGACCCTTAGTTGCCTGGCGCCTTCCATTCCACGACTGGTCGGCAACGCGGCCCAGGCAGGTGACTGTGTTTGCCTTTCCAGGGGACTTGGGCTCCTCGGCGTGAAGTGCATTGGAAAGTCAAACCCCACGTCTACAGTGAGTAAATCGTTAGAGAAATGGTCGGAGGTAAACAGGATGAGGTTTAATAAGGAGAAATGCAGAGTGCTCCACTTAGGAAGGAACAATCAGTTCCATACATACAAGATGGGAAGCGACTGTCTAGGAAGGAGCATGGCGGAAAGGGATCTAGGGGTCATAGTGGACCACAAGTTGAATATGAGTCAACAGTGTGATGCTGTTGCCAAAAAAGCAAATATGATTCTAGGTTGTATCAACAGGTGTGTTGTAAGCAAAACTCGTGAAGTCATTCTGCCGCTCTATTCTGCACTAGTTAGGCCTCAGCTGGAGTACTGTGTCCAGTTCTGGGCGCCACATTTCAAGAAAGATGTGGAGAAATTGGAAAGGGTACAGAGAAGAGTGACAAGAATGATTAAAGGTCTAGAGAAGCCTATGAAGCCAGGCTTCATGAACTGGGCTTGTTTAGTTTGGAAAAAAGAAGATTAAGGGGGGACATGATAGTGGTTTTCAAATATCTAAAAGGGTGTCACAAGGAGGAAGGAGAAAATTTGTTCCTCTTGGTTTCTGAGGACAGGACATGGAGTAATGGGCTTAAAGTGCAGCAGGGGAGGTTTAGATTGGACATTAGGAAAACATTCCTAACTGTCAGGGTGGTCAAATATTGGAATAAATTGCCAAGGGAGGTGGTGGAATCTCCCTCTCTGGAGATATTTAAGAACAGGTTAGATAGACATCTGTCAGGGATGGTGTAGACGGAGCTTGGTCCTGCCTTGAGGGCGGGGGGCTGGACTCGATGACCTCTCGAGGTCCCTTCCAGTCCTATGATTCTATGATTCTATGTAGCTCTGCCTTCTCCTTGGGTTTGGATTCCAGTCCAAGCCCTTCCCCACTGGGCAGTTCTGCATTTCTTGGCTGGCAAGAGGCTTTGGCCTCCATTTTTGTCCCTGGTAATGCAACCCAGGGCAGACTATCACTCTGCTGCGATTTCCCCCACACCGCTTCCCTGTGACATGCAACACGCCTCTTCTGTCATGTAAAATACCTCGGGGAGCAAAGCGTGATCTGCAACGTCCTGTGCTTAGAGTCTAAGGTCAGAAGGAACCTCTTGTTTATCATGGGCTCCACCCAGCACTCGGTTGACCAGGTGTCTGGTTTTTGACTGGATACCTGCTCCAAAAGGGACCCTCCCCAGCCCAGTGAAAATGAGGGAGGGAGGGGAGAGCGAGCAATGGATGGGGTGAGGGTGGCAGGGCCTCAGAAGGGGCGGGGCAATGGCTTTTGGTTCTGTTTGGCCAGGAAGTTGTCAATCCCACCCAACACCTGTGCACTAGCCTGGCAACTGAAATGATTCCCAAGTATTGCAGCCCCCTGGAACCGAGACGACTCTAAGCATTAGGCAGACAGCAGGAGGGACTGGTGCACCAGTGCTCAAAGCTGGAAGTTACACACCTAACGTTAAGCATAGGCTTAAATGACTCCAGGAGCAGGGTCTTGACTTGATCTGTAATAATATTCCATTCCTAAGGCTCCTTAATTACATCCTTGCAGCCTCAGTGATTCCAGCAGCCACATCCTCCTTGGGTTGGCGTCACAATTCTGGCCTCCGCTTTTGGGGAGCAGGTGTTCGCTTTTTGTCTGTCCCAGGCTCCTATGCACGTGGTCCAGGAAAGATGCTCCTGAAGATCTAGAGCAGGGCAAGCAATCGCCTTGACGTCCTCCGGGCTGGCTCGTGGTGGGTTATAAGCTTTCTGGTGATGTGAATAGATCCATTCCCCTGCATCTGTGCACGTGTGAAGGTCTCTCAACCAGTGAATATCTTGACATTTGGGTTGTGCCTCCTGGTAGAAGGAGGGTAAAAAAGGGGGAAATTAGTGTCCAGCATGCTTGAAATTTCCACTGTTGCAGGTCCAAATACAATCTTGTACTGGTATAGCTAATAGTATACAGTCCCCTTCCCGCCCCCCGTGTGGATGTAAGTTTACTGATACAAATGTGCTTACGCCGGGGTGAGCAAGAGGTGGCTAGTGGGTTGGATTCAAGCCGCCGGATCTGGTCGACGGCCACCTCTCCGGCACCCTTACTACAGAGCAGCTGCAGCCGCTTTAAACAGCAGGCTGCTAATTGCTCTGCAGTCTGAGAGGGGAGAGAAAGCTTTGTGCCGTCCCTGCCCCCAGTTTCCAGCCAATAGGAGATGAGAAATTTTGCTGAAGGCAGGAGCAGCGAATGAAGCCTCCTTACTCCCTCCCTTCCCTCTCTCTCCCTGTGCTGGAGCAGAGCCACGTGGAGCAGCCCACACAGGCAGGGAGGCTCAGGTTCCTGCAGAGCTGCTGGTTGGGAGCCACCTAGGTAAGTGCCCACGGGCCAGAGCCTGCCTCTGGCACCTCCTCTCCTGCTATCCCCCCCGACTCCCTGCCTCAGGCCACCACCTAAACCAGTGGTCCCCAACGTGGTGCCCGGCAGCTGCAAAAGGTTGGGGATCACTGACCTAAACCCTCTGTATCCCCTCTCCCCATCTCTTCCAGGTCACACATCCCTCCCAGACTCTGCACCTCCTCCACCCCTCCTCCACGCCAGAATATTTTCCTGCACACATACCCCTCCCTGACCTGCACCCCATCCTCCTTCCCCACATCACCTTCCAAACCCTCTGCACCCCCTTTGCTTCCCTCTCCCAGGTCACAATTCCCTCCCAGACTCTGCCCCCCCCCCACACCCTGTCCCCAGACCCGAATCCTCTTCTGCACCTAGAACCCCCCAGACTATAACCCCCTCCTTCATCCAAACTCCCTCAGCCCCCACATACCCTCTTGCCCCCTAATCCTCTATCCCATGCTCCCTTCTTCACCCCACCCACCATCCCAGACCCTGAGTCCCCTCCACAGAAGTACGGCCCTTGATCACTTACCAGAAATTATTGCCCATCCCTGGCTTAGACTATGTGCTTTACTGCTTATTCCTATATGGGACGAGGGAACGAGATGTCAGTAACACCTTTTTACCCGTATCCGTGTAAACCAAAAAAATACCCTTAGCTGAAATAATTGTATTGATACAAAAACTGGGAGTAGACCAGGCCTCATTATTTGCATGGAAGAGGCCCATAACAGTACCTATCCCTCAGAGCTATAAGGCAAATCATTAAGCCTTGCAACAGGAAGTGAAGCGTTCTCCGGATGTACGAGACGATCTCCCTGAATAGCCGCGGCCCAGAGCTCAGGGTCTGTTGCTGGTTTTGTGCACGTCTGCCAGGGCCCAGGTGATCCTGGGAAGCTCATTAGCATATGTGTAGGGTTTTATTTTAGGAACAAAGTATACTTGCTTAGGAAGAGCTGGGTGGTAACGTACACCCGCAGCAATCGCTCCATGTGTCGTCTCTAAAGAGTAGGCCAAAGGAACCTGCTGCTTACTGGGGATTTCACAGTGTAGTCGGGACAGTGCAGCCTGGACATATCCCAGTCAGAAGGGAGATGTCTCCACCCAGTACTGCCTACAGCCGGGGGCCGGGAAGCCTGGAATTGGCAGGATGCTAGAATGTTTTTAGTGGGGGTGCTGAGAGCTCTTGAATCCAGCTGGAAGCCCTGTGCATAATGGAAAACCACTTAAAGATGGGGGTGGGGGGGTGCTGCTGCAGCACCTGCACACGTGGTTCCAGCACCTCTGAGTTGGCTGCCTTTGCAGCTGCCTTAAACTAACCCTTTTCTTTCTTTTGAAGGTTTCCAGCCACCAGAAGCTGGGAACCAGGAACCTTCAGGCTCGACACCCAGGCGGTAACTACAAATCCCACATTTTGTCACTTGTGACATTGGCCTCGTGGTTTCTGAAGCCTCGGGTCAGTCGTGCCATGCCGTGCGCTGCACTGAGCGCTCACCTCTTCTGGGCTCCGGCGTGGTTACCTCAATACGGTTTCAGGGCTTGTTTCCACTTCACAAATTTCCCTGAGGTGTTCGCAGAAACTAACAGCTGCTGCATAGGACAGTGAAACCGAAACCAGTTCATCTGCGCTCCTCCTCCCAGCTGACTGATTATCCTGTTTATAGAATCTTAAAAAAAAAAAAAATCAAGGGGGAAAAGGGCATGGTCACAATTTTTAAGCACAGGAGAGGGCTCAGCATCAGGCACCAGGATCCACGTTGAGGTACATTAAAAGACCAGCCTGGATCACAGATGCTCTGAGCCACCAGTTTGAAGTAGGTCCCTACCCATGAAGCGGAGGAACCCACCTTTGAAACTGCTGGGATCTCTGAGTTTGCCTCGCTCTGCCTCCTTATGCCTATCCTAGTTTTTTTCATACGAGGAAACTGAGGCGTGAAGAGCCATAGCCAAAATCCGAAAGGAAACCGTGACCGTCGAGGATCATAGGAGTGTTGGATGGGAAAGGACCTGGAGAGGTCACCTAGTCCAGCCTCCTGCACTGAGGAAGAGGCAGGCAAACCTAGACCAGCCCTGAGAGGGGTTTATCCAACCTGTTCTTAAAACCTTCCAGGGATGTGGTTCCACAACCTCCCTTTGAAGCCTGCTCCAGAATTCAACTTCCCTTCTAGGTAAAAAGCTTTTTTCTAATTTCTAACCTAAATCTCCTTGCTGAAGATTAAGCCCATTTCTTCTAGTCCTGCCTTCCGTGGACATGAAGAACTGATCCAAGTCCTCTTCATAACAACCTTGAACATGTTAGAACATAGACGTCCCCACTACCACCACCCAAAGTCTCCCATGCTTCAGCCACAAAAATACCTGATGCTAGCTACATAGAGAAACTAGCGGAAGCTGCCAGGACCGCTAACGCCCGACTGCAGTGTGAAAGGATCTGTGCAATGGGGGAAGCAGACCAGGTGTCTAGTTTAAGGCTTATTCTTGGCATGTGCTCGGTGGGATGAGAGAGCTGGAGAATGCTCTTCAGGGTCTCCTGGCTTGTACCTGGCATGGCTGCTTCTACTGTGACATTTAAATGACTCTTCCTGGTTTTTAGGTTAGGTCCGGTGGCCTTAGGAGGTAGCAGGCATGCAGAGCTGGCCTGTGGGTGGATCTGGTTGATGGGCGGAGATCTGAAAGTCCTCCAGCTTCTCCTCCATGCCATACTCCCACGTCCCTTCCAGAGCTGCTCTCCTCGCATCGCAGGTACGCTGGGCAAGGGGGACGAAATCTCTTTCGGGCTCTCATTTGGAGCTTTTAAAACATTTGGGCCAAATGGGGAAACAAAAATCAAGCCCTGTCTGCCCCAAAGGGAAGGCTAAATGGTAAGCACACGCAGGGGGCATGTTCCCCTGGAGGAAAGGTGAAATCCCAAACCTGTTCCAGTGGCCAGAGGCACTGAGATGTTGGCTGCCTGTGATTCTGGTGCCAACCACAAGAGGGAGCCCTTGCACCATTTAGCTTTGCAACACTGGCTCATTCATTCTCTGGGGGGAAACTCCAAACAATCCCAGGGCTGGAAGAGACCTCAGGGTCATGGAGTCCAGCCCCCTCCCCAAAGCAGGACCAACCCAACTCGAGCATCCCAGCCAGGGCTTTGTCAAGCCGGGACTTAAAAACCTCTAGAGACGGAGATTCCACCTCCGCCCTAGGGAACCCATTCCAGAGCTTCCCCATCCTCCTAGGGAAATAGTTTTTCCTACTATCCAATCTAGACCTCCCCCTCTGCAACTTGAGACCATTGCTCCTTGCTCTGTCACCACTGAGAACAGCCTCTCTTCATCCTCTTTGGAACCCCCCTTCAGGAAGTTGAAAACTGCTATTAAATCCCCCCTCGCTCTTCTCTTCTGTAGACTAAACAAACCCAAATCCCTCATTCTCTCCTCATAGGTCATGTGCTCCAGTGCCCTCCTCATTTTGGTTGTCCTCCGCTGGACCCTCTCCAATGTGTCCACATCCTTTCTGTAATGGGAGGCACCAGAACTGGCTGCAGTACTCCAGCTGTGGCCTCACCGGTGCTGAATAATGGGAATTCACTTCTCTAGATCTGCTGGCAATGCTCCTCCTAATGCACCCCAATGTGCCACTAGCCTTCTTGGCTACAAGGACACACTGCTGACTCCTATCCAGCTTCTCATCCACTGTAACCCCCAGGTCCTTTTCTGCTGAACTGCTACTTAGCCAGTCGGTCCCCAGCCTGTAACAATGCTTGGGATTCTTCCGTCCCAAGTGCAGCACTCTACACTTGTCCTTATTGAACCTCATAAAATTTCTTTTGGCCCAATCCTCTGATCTGCCCAGGTCGCTAGGACCCTAAGTAGAGAAGTGGAGTCATGTGGGGAGGGGAACTCTGGGCTCCCCATTGGCCTGCTGTCACCACTATTCCAAGCCCCCCCTAGGGATACCAACATGGGGATGACTATATGATTAACCAATAAGCCTGGGTGTATCGGTCAATCCTGTCGACTACAGGCATCCCCCCCTTGCTGCCTCTGTAGCGGGGGGCAGGTGGGAGCCAGCATGCACGAGGAGCTGGCTCTGCAGAGCCATCTGCCCCCCCACAGAGGCAGGAAAGTCGGCTCCCCCCAAGCACCGGCTCCACAGTGCCACTGGCAGCAGCACGGAGTGGGGAGGGGGTGCAAGAAAGGCTTCCCCAAAGTAGCCTCTATCCACGGCGGGTTCAGGCTCACCATGGAAGAGCCTGCCCCATGGCCGCAGCCCCTGTCAACAGGAGGGTCTGAGCTACTGTGGACACAGACTGCTCCAGCATCCCATGGAATAGCCCCTTTCTGGGGGGATCCACGCTCCCTGCAGACAGGGGATGCTGATAGAGGCAGCAGCGCAAGGTGGCGGGGCTCCGCGGGAGCAAGGGTGGAGCACACTGGCTGCCCCTCCCCCCTGCCCCAGGGACTATCGAATAGTTGTGTAATTGCTAAGATTTCATGCAGTTACACGACTGTTCAGTTACACGCTAACTAACCCCGCCTCCCCCCCCGGCGCGGCCGTGCTGAGTGGAGGAAGGGGGCAAAGGCTGCCTAGGCCAGCTGGCGCCAGACCCGGGGTGAAGATCCAAGGTGAGCAGGACAATGTGGGCAAAGCCCTGCCATCTGCTCCCTGCCTTTCCGTGCAGCTCTTTGATCCCATCCCTCTTGCACGCCCGGTAGGGAGACTGGCCTGCCAAGTGCCCCCGGAAAGGGGTTTGGGAGCAGCTCCAGCGCTGACAGTGTTAAGGAGCTAATGGTATTCCTGGAGGGGGAAGGGGGCCAGGAAGCAGTGCAGTGGGTGCGCTCCCCTGAGATGTGCCTCTGAGCCAGGGGCTGCTTGGCGGGACACATTTCTGCACGCAGTCCTTCCTGCCTCCTGCATGGCCACGGCGAGCGCAGGTGCCTAAGTCCCTCCGGTTGAGCTGTGACCAGTGTTCCCTGCAAGCTGAGCCTTCTGCAGGCGCCCGGGAGAGATTCAAAGGCTTCCTGCCTCCTGCATGGCCACGGCGAGCGCAGGTGCCTAAGTCCCTCCGGTTGAGCTGTGACCAGTGTTCCCTGCAAGCTGAGCCTTCTGCAGGCGCCCGGGAGAGATTCAAAGGCCACCCAACTGATCAGCAGAATGCCCAGTGCCAGAGTATGTGTTTCTATTGGTGGTGCACATCTGCACCTGCCTTGGTGCATGTGACAAAACATTTTCCGCACACGGGTGGATCCGCTTAGAGGGAACATTGGCTGTGACCCTGGGTGACCAAACCGGTTCACAATTTCATTTCTTTCTGGCACCACTGCTCAACAGAGGCAAGGTGAGCACTGACGGGGTTACACTGGCTTTGATCCCTTCTTGCTCAAGGGCCACTGAGAAGGCTCATTCATGCCTCGCTGCACAGGGGCAGGGATCCATCCAGCTTTTTTGACCTGACAATAACCGGGCTGCGGAGGCAGGGGAAAGAGGCCACAGTGATCAGACACAACCATGCCCGTCTGGGCAATCAGACAGGGATCCTTCCTCACTCCAAGCAGTGACAGGTTGGCATGTAAGTGCCAATGAAACCCTCAGCATTTGCATTACTTAGCAGTCAAATATTTTAAGCCAAAGACCTTGCTCTTATAACCCCCTCTCCCGCCCGATGCAGCTTCGCTGCCTTTGCCACCCGAGCCTGTCCTACGGGCCCCAATGACGGAGGTGACTGGTTCTGGTAGCAGATGGCTCCTTTGTCAGGGGCTTTGGACGGGGGGGCGCATTTGGGGATGATGCGGGCTCGTCCCCTTCCCTCATGGGAATTCGTGTAGAAGCAAAGAGCAGTTGTGTGAGAATCTGGACATTAGAAAGCAAAAGGGAGGGGTTGGGGTGCTCGCCTCGGGTGTGAGAGCCAGGCCTTAAGGGCATGTTTCCTGGAGGTAGCCTTGGCCTTGCCTGGAAAGCGAGAGCCCTTGGTTCGGTACCTTACCGAGGTTCAGTGGAGCTCAGGGCCCTGCTGAGCTGTGTGCGAGAGGCAGCGGGCTGGTGTTTCCATTGCACACAGTGGGGAACCAAGGGCCAGAGAGATGAACTAGAACCTGAACCCTGCTCTTCTGAGCCAGTTGCATTTCCCCAGAACCCTCTTCCATTATAACAGGAGTATGGCCAGTCTAGGGATATAAAGGGGTAGTCCATTAACCGGTTACCCAGCAAGCATTGCCTTACCAACATACTTACCAGGATAACCAGTTAACCAGCACCCAGCCTGGCTGAGCCCGCTGCAGCAGGCGGTTAAACAATTAAACATAATTTAACCTGATTAACATATAAAACAGGATTTACATCCCGAGGCTGGTCTTGTTGAGAGAGAAGGTTTTTCTCCTAAATGTTCCTCAGGCATTTGAGTTAAAATGCTGTTGACAAAAATCAAGAGACAAATCCCCCACTTCGTATAAACCCAGCTCTGCTTCTTGGCAGTGATACTGTATCAGCTTACAGCAGTTGGGGCTCTATCCAGTGTGTTTATGCCATGTGAATAAAAAGCTCTTAAACCAGTATCATTTCCTAGCTTGTTGTGATAAAATCCTATTTGCTCTCCAGTCATCTGTAATGCTTTCCAGGAAAAATAGGGTAGAAAGGTCCTGACTTTTTTAATGCATCAAAAAGCCACAGGAAAGGGGTGAGCTCTTTCTGCCGCCTTTAATCATTGTGCAGGGAAACTGGTTTCTTCCTGCTGCCAAGTGGACAAAGGGATTGGGGAACGGAGTTGCCAATTGTGTTTCGGCATCTTCTGCTTCTGAACAGGAGCAATCTCCTTTGGGAGAGAAGGGAGCGAAATCTGCCAGGGAGAGCTGAGAGGGCATGATGGGCACAGCCAGTAAGTGTCTTCATTCACTTGAACCACCTCAGATGAACTAACACAAAGTAAAATCATCAAGGCAAGGTGGTTTGTCGCTTTCACCTGATGCAGCAGGTTCCATTGAAGGGCTTGTCCACATGGGGAAATTGACCAGCAGTTACAGTAGAAACCAGTCAGGCTTGTGCTAGTCAACTTCCCTGGGAGATGGGCCTGACCACTAGGCCTTTCCAGAGCTTTCCTGTGGCCTGTTAATTTCTGGAGCTGCAGCTTGACTCTTTGCCGCATAAGGACCAAGCCGTCTTTCCCCGTCCTCCCCCTCCCTTGGAAACGGCTGCTCTCCGCTGTCTGGCTGCTTGTCCCTCTGTCAGTCCACCCAGACCAACTCCAAAGTGGTTTAGGGTCCTCAGGACACTGGCCAAGGCCGCTCTCTTCCCTGCGCCTGTGTGTGTTCACTGTTGCCGTGTTAACGTCTCCTTGCAGGGTCTTTCACCCCAAAAGTTGCACCACCAACAGAGATCCCACTCCCCCTGCCACAATACTGCTGCCCCCACTGGGTGGATCGTGGCAGCAGTTTGAGCACTTATCATTTTGCTCCTTTCCTCCTCCCTTTGTTTGTTCATCTTCTGGCTATTTTGGTTGAATGAGGTTTTCAAAGGCACCCTAGGGATGGGAATGCCAAAGGACCCTTTGGAAACCCAGCCTTGATTTGATCGTATTTTCATATAGAAACTCCTGGCTTATTTTTTTCAGCCCTTTCCCCCTCCCTCTAATTAATTTTTCAGCTGATAAAAGATTAGCTGGGGGGGCTGGGCAGGTAGGGTCCTGGCTCGAGACACGAGAGAAGCGGGTTCAAACAAGTTGCTTCATCTCCCTGTGCCTCAATTCCTCATCTGTCCAGTGGGATACAAGTGGCGTCCTACCTGGCAGGATAAATAAAATACAGATGACAGGGGCTCTCTAGCACACTAATGGGGGCTCTAAGAGCCTGGGGTAGGTACCCAAATCCTTGACTTCTATCGGTTCCCCAACAGCTGCTAGGTTGTGGTTAGGTGGCAGGGCTAGCTACTTGCAAGGTGTGATGTAGTGGGGGTGCTGTCCACTTGTTGGGCTGTGGGTGACCCCTACTGGCCTGTGTCTGTAAGCACTGCCTGCGGGGGGTCACCCCGAGCTCCAGCACGTAGACAACAACTGTCTGGGGCTTCTCACCTAAGCAAAGGAAGGGGTGTGGCTACCTGGGGGATGTGTGTTCCGTGGT